TGAACAAGCAGGAATTTGCTCGTTTTATTTTGGGGATGGTGACTCAGAAAGGCTAAATTGCGCTGAACTAAGGTCTTCTTGCTGCATCTTCTGGCATCTATTGATCTGAACTCAATGTTTCCCTGTAGAATGAAAGAGTGGGGAAAAGAAAATTTGAAAAAGATAGGGGCCGGACCTTGAAAGGCTGCCTACGTATCTCCGAAGGAGAATTCAGGCCCTACGTAGTTCGAATACAAAAGGAACTTTCATTTTCATTTATTCATTTCTGGTGATTACAAAGAAAGCGAAAAACAGATAATAAAGCTCCTAAAGGATAGATGGTGCCTTCACCGAAGCTCCTTTCTCTGACTGCCGTATTAGCCACGGGGGGTAAACTCATATGCTTCGGGGGTGGTTTTCTCGTTCTCTTCTTTCCACCGTCCCTTGACAGGAGGTCTATAGACAATTTCCTCCCCAAGTTCTTCTTCAACAGACTCAAGTCCAGTGCCTTCAGGACCACTGTTAGTGGCCTTCTTGGTTGAAGAAAGGGTATTTTCCATGTAGTTTTTGGAGCCTCATGGTTATATTATTGTTGAAGGCATCATGTTCCTTCCGCATAGCAACCGTCTCCTCGTTCACGACAGCATATCTTGCCATCTTAGCCGCTAACTCCGCGTCCAATGCTGCACTTTTGGGTTGCGCAGCTGCGGTGGCTGATTCTACTTCTATTCTTCTTTCTCCCATCTCTCGAATCTCTTGTTTGAGTCGACGCAATTTCATCCTTAGACTCTCTTCAGTCGTTTTCACTTCGACATTCTTGCCCTTTTCCATCTTAGCAGCAATTTCCCCCTTTCCTGGGATGGTAGAGTAACATTTTAGGATTTGATAGTATGATTTTATTTCTGGCTGAGAAACTCAAGACTCGTGGAATTTTGGTCGGACATTTGGTAGTGACTTGTATTTGGCATTTTTTGGAAAATTTTGACAAGGAGTGGGCTAAAATGTCCTCATTCAAAGCAACATATCACATAAACAGTTTAAAGCACACAAACATATATCGCGTGTCCTAAACAAGTAGGGGGCCCTTTTGTGCCAAGGGTAGGCCTAGCGTATTTGAAAGATGTATGTGTAGAATTAAACCATTTTGTTACCCTAAAGCAAATTTTCGCATATAAAATGATGTTCAAGAAGCGAAAATAAGCAGGGAAAGTAGGGAATA